CATTCCTGGACAATGGCATCACTATTGATAGGCTGATCCAGAACAAAACAAATTTGAAATATTTCATCTCATGCCTAAAACTAATAGGATTTTAATTAATACTAGGTTCTATTGATAGTATTCATTCATTCTCTCCTATATTCATTCCGTAAGTATATGTTTGCATTGTCTATGTGATTGGCATTGACCTAAATGAGTTAATGTTGATGTGAACAAATTTCTGGCTTTATCTCAAGGAAGGCACCCTCTGCTTACCCTAATATTTATAACTCTAATAGGTTTTACTGCAAATGCTTGAGTATCTCAGTTTTTTAGTTGCCTATAGTGTAAATTATCTGAAGGCAGGAACAATAGCTGTCTTATTCCCTCTGAATTCTTATCACCAGTATATATGCTAGTATATGCCAGTTCCTAGCACAGAGAGAAGGACCTAAGAAACCTTGTTCAGTGTGTAATGATTGAATAAATAAATGATGTGCTGGAAAGACACTCAGAATTTGCAGGGGGTGGGGAAGGTGATAAGTAGATTATTACAATATCTCTGAGGTTGGATTAAGTACAAATATTCTGGGAATTATTAAGAGAGGAAATTAACCTATCTTACATGATGGGATGATGAGGCAAGAGGAGAGTTATTGCATATTGTATGTGTGTGTGTGTGTGTGTGTGTGTGTTTACTATTACACATAATGGATTATTCAAACTCAATTTTTCACTGAGTGCAATTATTCATTAAAGATATAGATGAAGGGCTTCTCTGGTGGCACAGTGGTTGAGAGTCCGCCTGCCAATGCAGGGTACGCGGGTTCGTGCCCCGGTCTGGGGGGATCCCACGTGCCGCAGAGCGGCTGGGCCCGTGAGCCATGGCCACTGAGCCTGCGCGTCCAGAGCCTTTAAGAGCTACATTGGAATTTTTAAATATCTATATTTCTTGAGTACAATGAATGCAATTCATTGAGTCATTTTAAATTTTTTAAGTATAGATTTCAATGATGTTGAAAATCCTGATGAGACTTTAATAGCATGTACACAAAATTAATTCCTATGGTAATTTCAATTTAGCCAATATTTTCTAGTAGTTTTTAATGTGGTTTTCTCTATTTCAAGATAATTGTGAAATATAGTCTGTGTTTCTTGTAAATTATTGAAAATATCTATAGGTTTAATGGTGAGAGCCAGATTAGCTATCAACAAAGGAGGTATGTTTTTCTGAAGTTAGAGAGATACTGGTTTTTAACTTGTATTTTCTTCATTTCATATACACACATCTTTTGAGTACTTCAGTTATTTATTAAGTGTATTGAACAAATATTCCTAGGTCTTCTTTATATGACAGGTACCACCTTAGGTAATGTGGATTATGAAATACCATTTTAATGATTATAACATATAATATACCACATTTATTCCTTTGGATATTGCACATACGTACATATAAGTCATAAGAAAAAGAAAGCATAAGGCGAGAAAGATACCTAAAAAATACTGAAAAGTTTTGGTCTAATTTGTTTTGATTTTCAAATATCCCTTGCCAACTATTCAAAGGACACTTAAAATAATCATATAAACATGATAATGAGTTGAGAAGAGCAATGTCAAATCACTCTGTTATTATTAATGAAAATTAACCTACTGAACCTAAGTCATTACACTCATAAAAGTACATGATGGTAGGTGTTTGGGGCCAACAAGAGTGTCAAAATTCAGTTAGTTCAAACCTTTCTTCTTGTCATTGTAAAAAACTTGGCCATTTGATGCAGTTTGCCAAGGATCACTGAGATTGTTAATGGCAGGCAGTATAGTGAATGGTTTGATATATTCAATGCACCAGTCTTGGCTCTAATTTTTCTTCTCTAACTTATTTTATAAATGATTTTCTCTTTTTTATATAATTATAATAAATATATAAATTATATATATATACAACTTTATAAATAATTTTTATTTATAAATAATTTTCTTATCTGTAAAATCATCAGTACTAGATCTACTTCATAGAGGAGAAGGAAGTATATTAATTACTGGGCAGGTTACTCTGTCACCAGCTATATCAAATGTGCTTATGTTTACCTGAAATAAAGTTATAGAACACAATTACTCCCTTTCAATGCCCTCTCACTTGCCACCCCCTATGACTCTGCAAAAAAAAAAAAAAAAAAAATCTAGGTAAACACTAAACTGTCACATGGCATATAAGTCTGTCTATATCATGCCTGGTTTAATCATATTTTATAGATTAATTATTAATAATGCTCATTCACTTTGAAAGGACAAAGGAACACATTAGGTGAAAGTCTGTATGTTGAAAGTATGGTCTCAGTATTAAATATTGTTATTTAATAGTTTTATTCACCATTTAGGTTTTTTTTTTTTTTTTTTTTTTGCGGTACGCAGGCCTCTCACTGTTGTGGCCTCTCCTGTTGCGGAGCACAGGCTCCGGACATGCAGGCTCAGCGGCCATGGCTCACGGGCCCAGCCGCTCCGCGGCATGTGGGATCTTCCCAGACCGGGGCCCGAACCCGTGTCCCCTGCATCGGCAGGCGGACTCTCAACTACTACGCCACCAGGGAAGCCCCACCATTTAGGTTTTTAATGGAAAAATATTCTAGGAATAGAAGACATTAAATATATTACTTTACGTATTACTCTGAGCCCTAAGATTATGGTCCATATGTCTTATATACAGCAGATGCTCCATTAATATTGTTTTACTATGTAATCATAAAATGTATCTTAAAATTGGGTGAGGCTCAAGAGAAAGGTCATCTTAAAAGCTCTGAATAAATAGCTTCAAAAAGTTCATAGTCTTAGAAGATAATTTGAAAAGCAATGCAAAAAAGGTTAGACATATAAAAAGCTATCTAGATATTATGGACTAAAATAAAAATATGGCCCGGGTAGCACAGAATCATCTAACACGCATAAAAACAGTTTTTATTTGACGTATGAAAAAAGCATGAAAAGTCATAGAGTCTGAAGCTATAATATAGTCAAATTTTGACTGTATATGCTTAACACCATATTGGTTTGCTCCCAAAAGAGAAAGCGAAAAAAGATACCTGAGAGAGAATTGTGTATACATTAGCTGAGTTTCAACCCACACTATAGTTGAAACTTAATTATACAAAATGTTTCCTTTAATTAAGTTTATTATAATTAATTTTGGCATGTATATGGACAGTATAATAATATCTATTTTGGAGTTGCTTAAATGAACTAAGTAATGACATCTATATCATTTTACTATAAAGCTTAAGGAAGCAAGGTGATATTTTCCAGTGGACAATAAAGAGTAAAATATATATCAGTGCATGTAAATGCAATAGTCAAAAGGATTCAGCCACTAGAGAAAACGTGGTTTACTGCAGCGGTCCCCGACATTTTTGGCACCAGGGAGCAGTTTCGTGGAAGGCAGTTTTTCCACGGACGGGGATGGGGTGGGGGGGATGCTTCAGGCGGTAATGTGAGCAACGGTACAGGTGGTAACGCGAGCAGTGGTTCAGGCAGTAATATGAGCAATGGGGAGTGATGGGGAGTGGCAGATGAAGCTCTGCCCACTCTCCTGCCAATCACCTCCTGCTGTGCAGTTCAGTTCCTGCCAGGGAACCCCTGGTTTAGTGCTACCAAGACTAATAAAAACCAAAAATACATACATACATACATACACACATACACACAAACAATAAGCCACTTTTATATATAGTCCAGTTTATTTTTCTTTTTCCAAAAGTAAAATGTAACACAAAAACTTTTGCCTGGGAGGCATCAAAGTTTGCATGTTAAACCAAAAATTAAAAATAAACAGAAAACAA